CTTGGAGTGGCAAGGTAAATGTTTTTGTAAATGTATTTTTAACACAAGTGAATTTAATAAATATGGAGAGAGAATTTTGCTTTGTTTTTTTCAAATTTTATTTATCACTGCAAGTGGCGCAAATCGACAAACCAGCATGAGCATGCCGGATTTATTATACTCACTTGTGTAAAAGTACTTATATTATATATACAGCTAAATAAAAAACGTTGTCAGGTTCAAAAAAAGGTTATATCATCAAAGCTAAGACTGAAGGGGAGCATGGGAAGACAAACAATTATGTTAATTTCATGCATATTGCAGTTTTCCCTTCCTGTGCACATTTTATGCATCATGGCTTTGGCATGTTGTTAATCTAGGTCGACCAACTTTGCTCTACTGTGCATTTTTACATGTTTATATGCAAATATAATACACATTTTGGAGCACCCAAAATTTTTTTCGGTCTTAGCTTCGATACAAATGCAGCTACACCACCAACCAGGGACACCTAGACAAATTTTTATTGGAATCTGCTCAAATTTTCATATTTTTCCATATAAAACTATATATTTTACTTAACTAGTATACATGTACATGTATGATCAGGAGTAAACAAAAAACATTTGAAATTATTTTATAATACACTCAACAAAATTACTTGATCCTGATTGTACAAAAGGAGTACAATTAAATCCCAAATTGTACTCTGTCACAAGACCAATTCAAAAAAACAGAATTCAAAACAACTTTCAAACATAACTTGTACCTATAAATTCTGAATTATACTAGAGATCATGCAATTTCCTATACTTATTAATGGCTGTATATTATTAACTTATATTTGAAAATATGAAAAATTTGATGTATTGGCCATAAATTATAGTTTCAAGTGTAAATTTGTAATTAATTTGCATGAGTGGGTTTTAAAAGAGCTTTAAAATTGTGTGAGCCCAATAAGGTGAGTGCCACTTGAGGTTTTTGAAAAACATGACTAAAAATCACGGACCATGGAGCATATTGAAAAGTGGGGGGCTGGCATTTGAAAATTAAGCATATTGAATCAAATTTTTGGGGGAAACGTTTTTTATTTCAATACCATGATCACCTTTCTGCTGAAGGGGGGGCTTCAGCTTGCCCTCCCCTCTGGATCCACCCTTGATTGCATGTATTAAATGTAGGGAAATTTAGTAAAGGATTTCATTGTCCATGTTGGAGGTGTTCTTAAATCTGCGCATGCTTAATCATAAGATAAATTGAAAATGACAACTTGTTTTTAGATTCTATTTTTGTTTTATTCCACAAATTTTCCCTCGTTATTCAGGGAAATTTARTCACTAATTCCCTGAGTGCCATGGAATTACTTATAAGTATTCATATTTTTGACGCAAAAAGTGGGGGCCCCCCCGGCTCCAAGTGAATTCCAAATTGAACAAGAAACCATATGATTATTCATTTAAAATAAGTATTATAGCATGAAAAATTGACGAACAATTCTTAATATGCACTGCTCTCAGCCAATCAGAATCCAGTAAATTTTTCATGTATATTTTAAAAATCATATTGGATGATTCTAATCATGTGATCAAATCGCCGATACGGCGATATTGCCCTCAATCAGTGACGCCATTCGGTCAACATGGCGGACTCCTGTAATGTTGTTTTACTTCCCTCGGTAAAAATTGAACCTGTTTTAGATGAAGAAAATGACTTGTCCTTTGAAACGACACTTGAATCCCCATCGTGTGATTCTCAAACGCGTTTTGGTGATACCTCAGAAGAAGAAATACAGCGCCTACTGGAGGATAAGAATACCGCTAACACCAAGAAAGCAACGAAAACAGCCGTCAACATCTTCAGAGAGTATCTTCGCGAAAAAGGATTGGATACGTGTTTTGAGGACTTTGACAAAAATGTTCTTAATAATGTGCTGAAGAAATTCTATGTTGAAGCACGAAAAAGAGATGGGGACTTCTATAAAAAGTCTGCTTTGAGTTCAATTCGTTTTGCCCTGAGTCGGCACTTGCAGTCTACTCGAAATATCGACATCATTAACGATCCAGAGTTTCGTGTTTCGGCTGAAGTGTTTCGTGCACAAGCAGTGGAGCTCGTACGTCGTGGAAAAGGTTCCATAGACCATTTCGCCGATATAACGCCTGATGATTTAAAGAAACTCTATTTCAGCGATATTTTGAACGTCAATAGTCCAGAGGGGCTTTTAAGGAAGGTGTTCTTTGACTTGATGTATTTGGCAGGCTCAAAAAGGAGCCGAGGAACGTTGAGAGAACAAACTAAGGATACTTATGGCATTGCCGAAGACTCGGAGAAAAACTTAAAGTTCATATATTTAAAGAAGAAATCTCTTGGTTTAAATAGTTATCCGTGGAAGATCTACGAAAAGAAAGGTCAGCTATTTGTTATTGTTGTTGGGTATTCCTGTCTTAGGGAAAAGCCTACATATCATATTACGTTCTGTCATTGAATTGTTTACTTCTGTTTAGAATTAGGGGGGAAAATATATCAAAAAAAGTTTACATGCTTTCGTGAATGAAAATAGGATTTTTGAACTGATTATTACAATGGTTTGATTATCACTATTTCATCTGTTTTTGGTTTTCGTGGTCTCAAATAACATAGCTAATAACGCTATCTGATTTATTCAAACGCGAAGAACAATGAGCCAGCACGAGCCGGCGAGCTCTTCAAAAAAAAAAAAGGAGTGAAAATTAATTCCAAATCGAACGTTAAACTATATGATTACTCATTAATAACATACCTTAAAAATAAATTTACATACAATCTTTAATTTACGCTGCAGTTCAAATTGCTCTTTTTGCAAAAGCACTGCTCTCAGCCAATCAGAATCCTCTATAATATTAGAAAGGAATACGTTTTTTGAAATTTGTGTCTTAAAAATGCGAGTTTTCAACATTTGATGAATTGGCTGTCTCAGGCAGGACATTAGTACATATTCAAATGGCTAATAGTTTTTGGTGTAACATTCCTTTTACTTTTTAGAGTGCTGATAGTCTCACTGTTGAATAGTTAGATAAATTTATCTAACTTAGATAACTATTTAGTTGAGGTCACCTAAAATAGTAAAAGCGCACCTAATAATGTTCATGCTAATCCGGGGGGTTGTTTTACCAGAGAATGAGTGAATAGACATTCATTTGTATCATCATGTCTCCCCCTGATCTCAGTAGCTGTTTACTCGTAGTTTCACATTTAGGTCACTTCAGCTAAAATAGTAAATAACTTATCTAACTTAGTTGACATCACCTATTCAACAGTGAGACTAAAAGCACTCTACTGTGGCTACTAAGTCCGTAACACCACAGAAAGCCCAACATTTCTCATTCCATAAAGTTGGGAAATAAATTTGTTGTTCTAATATCTTACAACACACATAAACACATAAAACAAAACATATATTTCCCATTACCAATGTTAATTTAAGTCCTAAAGTTCATAAAATCAATATCAACATTTTGTTCTATATATATATAAACCTTTACTTTTAGCATTTAGATTTTCACTAGCACCTTTTTTAATTCTTGTTGTATTTGATTTAGGAAATGTAAGATGTCCAGTAGCAAATTTTGCTAAATACCTTTCGAAGCTGAACCCTTTAAGCTCTTTCCTGTGGCAAAGGCCAAAGAAGAATGTACTTATGGAAGATGATGTTTGGTATGAAAACTCTCCATTAGGGCACAACACTCTGGGGAAAATGATGGACACCATGTCTCGAGAAGCAAGACTTTCAAAGATGTATTCCAATTACTGTCTGAAGGGAACTCACGCCTCATTGCTAAATGATCCCACTCTTCAAAACTCCATGCTTTTGATCAAAACCAAGTTAATCTCTGAAAACGGACATGCTCTTCCTAAAATAGTTCCAAAACCAGCATATAGTCTGTCAGCTATTCCATGTGTTTCAATAGCACAGCCAGCATCAACAATGCAAACAGTTGCTACATCAAATCAAAGCCTTCAAGAAGAGCATTCATTTGTTCTGAGTACTAATGATCAAAAACAATCTACCCCGCTGAACACGCCATTAACAAGCAGTATTGGTGCTTCTTCAAATTCTCATCAAGTTATTCTTCCTCTTACATCAGCAACATCACAGAGCCAAATGGTTGGGCCACCTGTAGTGGTATCAACATATGGCTCACTTTATTCTTTGGTAAGATTTCTTTTACTGATTTTATATTTTGCAGCTGACCCAAAGGTACCACTGAAAGAAGTTTGGATTGGATACTTCTATTTTACAGTGTCAGAGCATCATGGCAATTTCAATAGCTATTAAGCTATTTTAGCTTCAAGGGCTATTTTATAAAAATGCTTGATGTTAACAATTATGACAGCAAATATAAATCCAGTGCTTTTGTTTTGGTGTAAGCTAAATTAAATTTTGTGTAAATAAATCAGTTAGATATAGACACAGTTATTTAATCCAAATGATAGGAACAGGATTTAATTGAAGATACATTGTCAGTAGCTTATAATTACATATAATAAGAATCAGTGTTTTGCAATCTAGGATTTTCAATATTTACCGTTGACAGTTCTCATATTTATTCATATTTATTTCAAGTTTGTATTACCTCTTAAATATTATTTAGTTTTTTTCTGTTTTCTGCATTTAGATTATTTCGTTGAACGTTCTTAACATGTCAGCCCTCAGCTTGGGAGACTGGGCAATCACTTCCTGAATTATCAACAATGAACAAATTATACTATTATATTCTATTTCATTCTATTTCATTCCTATTCTGTTGTGTTCCATTCTCTTCCTATTCTGTTTTATTCTATTCCATTCTATTCCTATTGTTTTCTGTAGTATTATATTCCATTTCATTCCATTCCTATCTATTTTTTTAAGGCTCCACACCCTCAGAGTAAAATGCCAGGAAGTCCATTAACAACACATGTATTGGATACTTCATCTGGTACCCCTGCAAGACAACTACCAGTCAAAGTTTTTTATCATGAAGAAGTACAAAACGGCAGCTCATGGAAGGTTATTGCTTCAGGGTAAGGAGAAAAACCATAATGATAAGTAGCTAGGTAATTGCATGGTTTACATTCATGTTTGGCATTAATACCACATTCTCAAGTGATATTTCAAAATTCATTGCAATTTCTTGAGACAGAAGCTATGTAGGATGAATCATTATAATATAAAGATCATGAAATCATCATCCATCTTAATATGGGGAACATTGGAGAGAAAGATAATTAAATTTCACCATGTTTTGTTGTGTGGACACACTAACTTGGAACACTTGAAGAAAGTTATCCAATCATGACACATAGTGAAGACAAAGGAATCAAACTTAAGTCAACCAAAAAAGCCTAGATAAATCTCATAAAAGGGGGATTCAATGGAACCTGCTACTACATTTGTTTATGCAAACAACACTTTTATGATCAAGGGCAATAATGGTTTGCATAATATGTTAACTTTTTCATGTCTTGTAGTGCAACAAATGGGGATGGAAGGGTACCAAATCTTCTAACTCAAGAAAGATTTAAATCAGGCCATTACAAGATAAAATTTGATACTGAAACCTACTATAAATCTCTAGCAGTTGAAGAATACTTTTATCCATATGTCGAGGTAAGTGGGGAAAGGAATAGTTTGAGTCAAAAGTGCAATAAAGATTTTTTTACATTGATATTTTTTCATGGTTTTTGGTTTCTTAATTTACAATCTTCTATTTGATATATAACATACAACAACAACAGCAACATTGAAATGATAAAAGCATAAATAAATGTACATTTCAAAAAATAGATGTGGTCAAGTATCCTCATTAGACTTCCAATATGATTTTAACTACTTTTTAAATCTTGTCATAAATTTTTCCACTTTCTCCAATAATCATTCTCTTGACCTTTAGATTTGGCCACATTAAGTTCAGTATTTATTCTATTTCTCAATTAAAAAATAATTATTTTAACAGAGGGCATTAAACTCTCTCAGTAAATGATATATTAAAAGTCAAACTCAACAAAAGCTTTGAATGCTTTATTCTTTGTCAAGTGATAAACCATTGAGTCAGAACGTTTCACTGGTGAACTTTGTACCTCATTTCCATAAAACACTGACAATGTCAATCCAAATTCCAAATATGGTTTTGCTAGGGCTTGCAGAATGATTAGGTCCAGAAAAAAAAACACGCAAAAAACTTACAAAAAAATGCCTAGGAGTAAAAGGGTTGATCAAAAATCTTAACAGTATATCACTTGACTGAAAGAGCATCTAAAAGTGATGAGTGAGCTGTTAAAGTTAAAATGGTGTGGCTTTTTTTCTTTTGAGTTATTACGGAATGAATTTAGAGATATTACTATCAGAACTTGGGGGTCTGACGCATACGGCCCTCTTTACTTATTGAAAATTTCTTTTCTCATTAAAAAATTATTAGAATTATAAAGCCAGGGGGGGATACTCCCATATATGGACTATACAGGGATGATCCGCTGAACAGGGTATGGTTTTTGGAGCTTCTTGTCATAAACAGGGTATGCAATTTCACTCAAGTTCAAAGTTCTTCCCGAGTTTTCTGTCATATTCAGAGTTTCTACTTTCATATTGACCGAAACTGGTTATTATGGTTGTAAAAAAACAATACGCGAGATGACATGATAATTGAAACAGGAACTCAGTGCAATAAATTATATCTTTTATCATAAACAGGGTCTACAAATTTGAGTTTTTTTGTCATAAACAGGGTAACCCTTTCAGAATTCCAGCGGAACACCCCTACCAAAATTCTGGCAGAGTAACCCCCCCCCCCCCCCGGTATAAATCATGCTGTGTTAGCCTATAACTAATATCAGACCAAATAATTTTGACAGCATTGTTTGGAAATGAAAAATTAAATAAGCTATGGAATGAAACCCGTAGCCTCAGTATTGTAGTGCGATGTGTTATCAACTACACTATTGAGACAACCACTCTGGCAATGCAGCTGTTTAGCAGTGTTGTAGTTGGTTAAAATGATCCCAGGAATGTTAAGTTGAGAATAGGGAAGCCATTTTGTTACCACAGGGGGGACATGGCCCGTTCACCCCTCCCCCAGCCTATGCCCCCCGCCCCCAGTCTATGCCCTTGATATAAAAAGATGTTTCCCCAAGACTCTATTGTTGTGTCTTTTGTCATGCTGACATCTACCTGATAGGCCTTTTGCAACAACAACACCTTACCACCCGTAGAAAGAGACATTGTGTCAAAATGAACACCAGAAATGGAAAGAGCACCTCGATATTAGTAAGAAGGCAAAGTTTCAGCTTATTATAACATGTAACACAGTAGAAATGGCTTTAAATACAAAATCTAATATTTTATAAGGATTTGTTTGGGAAAATGTGCTTGATTTTCCCTTAAAAATCCTTATAAAATATTTGATTCTAGATTCAATGCCATTTCTCCTATAGTCAACATTATAAACTAAAACTTTGCCCTCTGACTAATATGAAGCCTTTTTACTACACTGGGTAAAAGCTCATCTTAACAAAGGAATCATACTCAAGGGAATAATACATAAATTGCAAGGGGAAATGTCCTAAAAGTCAGTTTAGGTCTGATGGCAAGAAAATGCGATTGTGACAACTAAAAGAATAATCTACTCATGTGCATTTGTTTTTTCTAGATTGTATTTACTATAAAGGATCCAAGCCAGCATTACCATGTGCCTCTTCTGTTAAGCCCATTTGGATATTCTACTTACAGAGGGAGTTAGTATTTCATTATCAGTAATAAAACATCTCGCTTGGTTATCGTCCTCTTTATTAAAAATTCTTTGTCAACGTGATATTGTCGTATTTTAGTAGGTCAGCCGTTTACAATCACGTAAGACATAGCATTTTATCCTCACAGTCAATCGGGCATTTATCGGGAAGTTTTACATGACAAGGTTTTACAAAAACAAGCGATATACAGAATGATGAAGAATGTCAAAGGATTTTATCGTTAGAGTGGTGTAATGATAATCATTTATTTGTATGTCAATGCTGTTTTCCAAACCAGTTTGCCAGGATTGAATAATGACCAGTTTGGTTAGTTCTGTTATTTCTATCTTTTTACATATGTTTATAATAGTTCCTAAATATTCACTAAAACTGCTTCCTGAAAGGTTGTTTCACAGTATTAGATTGCTTTATACAAGCGCAATAAAAAGTATTTTCCATCAAAGATTTTTGAGTATTAAAATAAAACTGAGCACCCTGGTCAGTCATGTGGGATATCGGTGTTGGGGTAGAATTGTTCACTACACCCGAGTAATCTCTCCCTTAGAGCTGTTGGTCTCATCACCCTGGTCAGTCATGTGGGATATCGGTGTTGGGGTAGTAATGTTCACTACACCCGAGTAATCTCTCCCTTAAAGCTGTTGGTCTGATCATCCAGTTCGGTAATGTGGGATGTCGGCGTTGGGGTAGAGATGTTCACTACACCCGAGTAATCTCTCCCTTAGAGCTGTTCGTCTGATCATCCAGTTCAGCCATGTGGGATATCGGTGTTGGGGTAAAAATGTTCACTACAATCGAGTAATCTCTAGCCTCCCTTAGAGCTGTTGGTCTGATCATCCAGTTCAGTCATGTGGGATATCGGTGTTGGGGTAGAAATGTTCACTACACTCGAGTAATCTCTAGCCTACCTTAGAGCTATTGGTTTGATCATCCAGTTTAGTCATGTGGGATATCGGTGTTGGGGTAGG